GCTTCATATAAGAGTTGTTGTGGACGAAAAAAATCGTCACACATATACAGATACACGGACAGACATAAGTCATTATAAAAATAGTAAATCATGTCGTGAGGGAGCCAAATGAGGCTTATTCTCTGAATACTCACTACCGACATTTTGGACCGAAAACATACCTTCCTTAGGTTAGGGGAGGTAAAAATAATGGAATTGATTATACTTAACCTTTAAGCCCACGCATGCGTTATTGAAGCTACAGTATGCTCATGGAATCAATGCTTACCCGAAGTTAAACGTTAAAAAATCGCACAATAGATTGGCTGTAAACAAAAAATGTTTTCAATCAAAATCGTAAAAAGAACCTTGTATTTAGCGTAAGTATAATGAAACACTCAATCGATTTCGAGGGCAGCTAAAGGTCCCTCCTCATCAGGAGAAAGTAATACCTAGAAAGAAGAAAATAAAGGAGAAGGAGTCTCAGAAACACGTGGTCCTTATCAGCACTGCACAACAACGTGCAATCCAGATATATCCAGTTTTAACCACGTGCAGTGCTGATAAGGACCACGTGTTTCTGAGACTCCTTCTCCTTTATTTTCTTCTTTCTAGGTATTACTTTCTCCTGATGAGGAGGGACCTTTAGCTGCCCTCGAAATCGATTGAGTGTTTCATTATACTTACGCTAAATACAAGGTTATTTTTACGATTTTGATTGTCACATTAGCGTGTTTCTCTTCTATTCTAGTCTAAAATGTTTTCAGTTATTACGAAACAATATTGCTGTAAATTTCTGTAAATATTTAAATTCATTTTCTTGCATTCTTGCTTTTGAATATTATTCTAATACTGAATATTGTTTTATTTAATTATTTAACTGTTTGCTGCATTCAAAATAATAATTTTAGGTTTTATTTGTACAGGTGTGTGTGGTTGAGTTTATGGCCACATATTTTATACGTAAGTGTTTATACTTTGAATAAAACTGTAGATCATTCAATTTTGAATCTTGCAATGCTTAAATTGCCAAATATCTCAACTAGAAAGCGAGATATAAGGTTAAATGATCCTGATAGAGCTTTGGAGCGATATTTGGCGACGTACCGATATTTGCTCCAACGTAGCGATATTTGGCGAAGTTTTGATAGATTTGGGAAAATGCATTTTTGAAGCCCTGTAACTGGTTTTGCCCTGAAGCGTTCAAAAACTGTGCAACACCATGTAAATATAACTCCAAGACCCAGGGCTAGTCAGTTTTTAATGAGCTGTGAGCTAGTGGTTTAACAAGAACTGGCTGAATTTTAGAGTTCACTCGGAGATGATTTTTGGAATTGATGGTATTTCTTATGCGCTAAGGAGATTAAATCAGATTATTTGAACAAGATAAAGCCATTAACGCTATCTGCCCAATAGAAAGAATGCCTTCGGGAAGGACTTACTGTGAGAAAACGACACGTCTTACGTTAACCATGGGGAAAATAACCATACAGCCAGCTCGTTCGCTTGGGTTAGAACCGAAAGTAGGTGGAACAGTTAGTGCTCAGCTGTCTTAAGCATTCGGCCACTAATGGGGTGCGCTAAGGAGAAATTTCTTATCATCCACCTAATTCTTGAACTATTTAGAGTTATTTATTTTGCTGCGTGTCCTTATTTTTTATAATATATGGTTAATTTCTTTTTAGAATCATCTGGAACGCTTATTCAAAGAAACATCAACAAATCATGGCTAGCAATAATAACTCAAACATCATATGAGTGCATGACTTATCAAACACCATATGACTCATACACCAAATGACTCCTGAGAGTATTCACGATTATCATTAGACAACACTGCTATGATAAATTCAGATTTACCCTAGATTAAAAAAAGAATCCATCAATATTCCGTACTTAAAGAAATATATGCGAAAATTGATATGAAATTCAGAACTAAATATTCACATCAAGAGCAAAATAAGCGAATGATTAACTATATCTTACAAAAATATATGCTAATAATGCTGCTGATGTTACACATTTTCAAGAATAACAAGTTTCGTTGGCTTTGGCTTCATGTGTGACCATAATGTTTCCTTTTATGGTTCATATAAATAAATTATGCTAAAAAGAAAACTAATTAACTAAACTTTATTGAAGGGAAATGCAAAAAACTCAGCCCTTTAATGGAAATATTCATGAGCATTCCGTAAACGAAATGATAATTATTTACCATTTATTTTGCTTTGAAAAGACAACAGTAACATCTAATTTAAAATTTTACGAAACTGATCCAAGAATTTCACAGAGATGACAGTAATGAAGTTTCAGTTGTTCTTCATAATTCTCCAGATGTGCAACGTAAGCCTCAGTAATCTCATCTATTACCTGGTACGGAGAACAATGAAACGATGATGACATTAATTCGATAATTTTGAAGTATTTTCTTCCTTCTTTCCGTGTGCCTTCGTAGTGTAATTTAAAGCACAATCAACGAGTATTCGGGAGGTCCTTAGTTCGAATCCTAGCAATGGCACTGTGGATATTTTCATTTTTCTGACATCGACAGAATTCTACAATACTCTACAGGTGGCGCGCGAACTAAAAACGCTGTCGACGATAATTCGTCAACACCAGAATTTCGCCATTGGTTCCATTAATCCCCAGTCGCTCTGTAAAAGGCGAAGTATATAAGGTATTTTCTCCGCCCTTTCCACATCTCTTCGAGCTCTAACTGCAAATATACTCGACGCTTATTTGGGAGATCCGTAGTTCAAATTTCTGTGAGAGCACTACGGATTTCTTCAGTGTCCTGACACCGAAAAAATTCTAAAAGACTAAAATAATTTCAATCTTTAAAAAAAAGTTCAAATTATGTTAATGCATTTCAGTAGTTATAACCGTTCGATAACACTGACAGCAAATAATTAATGAGAGTTAATTTAGTGTCTTTTTCGAATAGTTTAAAGCGGTAATATAAAACATAAAAAAATTTAGCACAGTTTTGTTTTGAGAAGAGAAACAACTCTATATAAAGTATGCGTTATTTGGCAGACCGTTAAGAATTTGTTGCACTCTGAAAACGATGCAATTCATTAAGGAGGAGGATTTCATCTCGAAAACAGAAGTTAGACTGCAGACTCTAAATCTGACGAGTAAGGAAGATAATCAAGAACAGTTATACTTTTTTGGAACATACTTCTCCAGTAAATGCATTATCCGACGAAAAGTTCAATGATTTCAACAGTAATTTTTCAGTTCATAACAGCATGTAATAGCTGCCTTATATCAAACAAAATTCTCGGTTTAAACTTCAATCAATTCTTAACAGACCTTATTTTCAAAACAAGAAATTCAGATAGGTTAGAAGTCGGTATCACGGTACAGTTACGGTTTCACAGTGTTGGTACGATTGTTGAACAAATATGGTCCTTGCATCCCTATGTAAAGCTTATGAAATTTTTTAAATAAATTTAGTGAACATAATAAAATTTCATATTGATTTAATAATTATCTCTGCCAAAATGAAAACTTTTAAACTCATTTTCTTAGTAAATGTATTGCACAGGCAAAATAGTTTGATATCTCTTGCAGGAAACTTATTGTATTGTCCAACTCACAAAGGATATTCCAATGACTATAGAGTGCACTTCACAGAACGTTTCACCTGTGATAACGGAGAAGGCTTTAATATTCCATCCGAAACACCCGTATTCTGAATATACCAATTTATGTGTCTATGCATTCAATTTTCGATTCACCGGACATGCATTCGAAATGGTGATGCCAAACATGCATCTTCAGAGGAATAAAGAACCTATTTAGAGGCTATTCTAAAAGGGTGGAGCTGAATTACCATTTGTTCGATTTCCACGTCATGGGTATTAAGTTTGCTTGGTTCGGAAAAGGGAGCACTTTTGATGAATTTTGTCAAGAATATAAATAGTTTTATTGCAAAGTACCCTCAGAAGTAGACGAGAAACATTAGAGTAACAAATTTTTAATAACCAATTCATGCTAAATAGATTATACAGAATAATCATGAGAGTAAAAATTACATACTGTATTTTTTATTAATGAGTGTTGTTACAAATTGCTTGAAAAAAGGAACTGTAATATTTATTCAATACTAGCTAAAGTAGCTAGCGTTGCCCGAGCTTTACGCAGAATGAAGTCTTCTTTTAGAAAGACGAAGGTAGATTTTTCGAAATCTAAGGTGGACTATGATTTCCCTTTTATTCTAGTTCAAGGAGATTTTTATATTCGGAAAAAAAAATTCCATAAAATTCTGCTTTAAATTTCTACAATTTTCTGGACAGTTCTACACTGTTCTAAAGATTAAATGAACATAACCTTATCTAACGGTTTTAATAAGAAATGATAGTGAGAATGAATACAACGGCGACATGAATGTAAGATGGGTGACGTTATTTCAAATTTTAAACTGTGTAAAAGTATTTATGCTTATTTTTTGTATAAAAACAATTATGAGAAAGCGAAAACGGCAATGTAAACCTAAGATAGTTGACGTGTGCATAAGATAGGTGTTGTGAGTGCAACGTTGCATTCTAATCTCTCTGAATGTGTAACACGTGTGGTGGTTTTCGAAATCTTATGTAGATATTTATCTTCCTCTTACTGATATTTACTTATTTATTTTGAAGGCAAAGTGAGCAAAATCTCATTGAGACACTAATAATTTCTTTGTAGATTTATTTTGTATTTCTTCGTTGATTTAGTCGTAGATTTGTAGACTCTCAATGAAGAGCATACAGGAACACTGTTGTGCTTTTTTAGAAGTTATGAAGCAATATACTGCTGTATATTGTCAGCTATGTCAGCTACATAATGCAAAAGAAATATTTAAAACATATTGCATTACCATGCATATGAGTAATACTAAACCCCACTGTATATTCTAAGATTTAAGATATTTATTTTAGATATTTTAACCCTTTCTAAGAAAAACGCTTTTTTCTATAAAAATCTGTTTAGTTAAATATATATTATTTAACAGGCACAGATTTAAAAGAACTAACCATGAGAAGAACACGAGACCGGCTGTCATCCACCCACAAACTGTTCCACAAGATAGCCCCCAACGTGGCATAGCCAGCCAGAGTAGCCAGGTTCCTGGGATCACTCAAGGATCGAACCAGAGGCACACTGCCCATTGTCCAGTCACAACAGAGGTCGCTGGGATACAAAAGCAACCAACCATTAAGGGCGACCAGGTAATTGAACGTCAACTGTCGTGTCGGAGTCTCAGCTGCTGCTGCTGGATTGTCGAATCTGAAACATAGTAAAATTGAAAAACATTGTTCAGTTGTTAATCATCAATAATTTATTTGTCTGCAATAATATGTTCGTATTCAAAACATTGCTTTTCTAGTATATTTTACAATGCCTATTTTATACGGCTTAGGGCGCCTTGACAGCAACATTTAAACATTTTATCTTAGCCATAACAGACAAAAAATTTTCAATGCTAGACAATTACACGGCGTTAAATCCATTTGAAGGAGCAACAGCATGTGCCAGAAAAGTTCAAAGCATTGAGCATTAAGTTCCTTCCTTCAGAAGGAACTGAAATAAATCCTTTTATAAGATAGTGTATCAAGAACAAAAAACTTAGAATGGAACTCATAAATATAATGAACTTCTGTCTAAAAGATGCACTGCGTTATGCAACACAGCATAAAACAAAGCAACTCCTAGCAACACCTGACGGGGTCCCTTGTGGACCCTGTGAAGTGTAGTTCTTTGCATAATTAGTGCGCCTGTGCAATACACTCATTTCCTACGGTTAAACAATGGCCGTCCACTATACATCACCATATCCCTATCCATACACAAATTCTTCAGAATCAAAGTATAACCAATGGAAGACCTAAAAAACTAAGAAAATAACTAATAATTGTTTTTAACTATTGTGTAAAGCATGAAAACATAAAATATTTTACTGTGTCAGTAGTAAGTACTGCTGAAGAAAACAGCTCTTCAAAATTAACTCATTTGTATAAATATTTTGCTCAAGAATCCGATATTTGTAAAGCTTACTTTTCATAATCAGTTCCAATATGTCATATCGGTAATATAAGTCGTAGAGTGAAAACATAGAAAAAAATAGGTATGTCATTTCAGAAAAAGTCCGATTTTGTATCAAAATATCTCTGTTAGAGCAATGCTGTTTTTAAATTTAATGTATATCCTAAGTCGCGCTTTCAAGACATGAAAAGCACAAGCTAAATTTCGTTAATCGACCCAGTAGATCGGGAGATATAGAACTGCCCCTTTTTATTTTATTTTATTTGTTTTTTCTGCGTGCAGAGTGTACATGAGCACATATCATTATCATCTTCCATTGTATGGAAATGTAGAACAATAAAAAATGAATAGTACTTATAATTAACATTGAAGTATAAAATGTATAAACAAACTGGATTTTATTTTACATACGATAACCGAAAGTGATAGTTACTTAAAGCACGTTGCTAATCCTCCAATTCCATATCGTAGCTTGCCGGAATGGAACGTGCTTTTTAACTATGAATTGGAATTGGCTGGAAATGAGTTATATGCTGACCACATCAGGTTTTTTTCCTTATGAGGTAGAATCAAGATCACTTCGTTACGAGCAGTAACAAAATTAATGTAGGGAAACGCGCTCTGATGTTTTAAAATTTTCCGGATGACACAATAAATTGTTGAAATAACTTTTGCATAATTTAGTTAGTTATATTTGTTTAAAGAAATTACTATTTATTTTTAGATTTCGACATAAGTTGCTCAATATAAATCAATAATAATGAAAAGGAAAAACAACTTACTTCGTGAAAACTGGAAGCTGAACTCCCATAACTTTGAGCCGAACTGTGAGCAGAAACAAAGTCCAAGCTGCCAGGACACCCATTCGGAATCCGGCTTCTTTCAAGTAGCTCTTGCCGCTCATCAGAAGAACTCGAGGTATTAAGTCTGGTAATCTGACCTAAAAGATAACATAAAATGATAAACAATCCTTTCAGTTGTTCGCTGCAACTGAAATCCTATCTACTTTCAGTCACATGAAACTTAAATACAGTAGTCTTTTAAGTATACTTTCAGTAACACATACTTCTTATTATAAGAAACCTGAAGAAGGTCTTTTTTCAGTAACTTAACTTAAAAAGCATATACGTAATTTTAAGTTGTTTTGTAGGAATAGCAAATAGGTGGTTTGTAAGAAATTTGCATTCCTCCTTGCGTCTGCGTAGTGTGGAAAGAAAATGAAGTGCAACCATATTTAATCCCTTGTAGGAGCCAGAGCTAGGTATCTTCCTTGTGACCTCTCCCATGTGGCAGTCGTCCTGGATATTGTAGTAACTATCCGTGAGGTTATCTTCCTAGATGTAGCTGTGGTTCTCTCCATCGTTGTGCGAAGACAAGAACGGCCTAATGTGACGAAGACACCAAAAGATATGACGCAGAAGTTATCATTGTCATCACACATTTATCTCATCTTGCTTTTTTCATGTGTCATAGGTTGATGTCCATCGTTCATCTATCCTGCTACGTATACAGAAAGAGAGAAATTCAAATTTTTTGTTATTCAAAGTTCTCCTATGAAGGAAAAAATCTACTATGTACCACTCTCAGCACTCCCAATATGTTTTAATGCATGTTTGCTTATAGAAGAAGTGTTAAATGAGAAGGAATTTCGTATCTTTATTTAGATGAAAAACTCCATTACGTTTCGGAAAAAGAAAAATGATGTCGTTTCTCTTCTTCAGAAATAATATAAATTCCGCTTATCCCCAATCCTTAAATGCGAATAATCATGGGAATTCAGGAGGTCATAGTCATAGACAGTGAGCCAATATTGGCTACATGACTTCTGTCCAGTCGAAATGGAAAAAACCACGGGGTCGGAGGAGGACCGTTCGCTCACTGAAATAAATAGCTTCTTTTTTATGACTCTCGGCTCACTCACCTTGATGAAGATCCGGAACGAGGAAAGAATCGAGATCGGTTAGCGAGGATGGAGCGAACAGCAGAAAGAATTGAACGGGCAGTGGGATCGGGACCGGTTAGCGAGTTTGGAGCAAAGAGCGAAAAGAATCAAGAGAGCCGTGGGATAGAAAAAACTGAATCAGTCAAATGGCGGGGGGGACCCTGAACTGATTTTTTCAATTGTGGTTTTGAGTTTTACGAAAACCTCCTTTCTACGCAGAACTAACAAAAAAATGTTAAATAAAAATTTTTCAAAATGTTGAGACATGATAAAAATTAAGTTTACTTTTAAAATGGGAGGATAAACATTCTTTGCTCTCCTAAAATGGGAAGTTGACAAGATTTCAACTTCCTTCCGCTCTTTTTTCGTCCAACAGGCATTCTGTTCCTCAGTTATGGGAATCACTTCGTGAACTAGATAGGGTAAATTTCTAATTCTGGCATGCTTCCAACAAGAGCTGTCGGTTAACAGTAAAAGATCTACAACTCCGGTGGAATAAATTCGCTCAGTAAAGTGATTTGGGTCTTTGAATCAGTTTTGGAGTTCATTTGAATCAGTTTTGGAGGGTGGCCATGGCTTTCTCAGGAAAGCGGTGCGGCTTTTACACAAATAAAGTATATTTATGAAATATGGGAAACTAAAACTACTCAGTGTCTAAAAGAAAGTTTTTTTAAAATTTATTTTTACAAGGTTATTAGAAAAGTGAAACTAATCTAAACGTAATTATTTTATTTTACTTCTTTTTAATTACAAACTCAATAACGTTATTCAAAAATTTTTTTAAAATATTGCAGTGGTTCTATGAAACAATTCTGTAAGAGAAATCTTTTAAAGTTAGATTTGGTCGTAGATGCTTTACACGAACGGTTTGCCGAATTTCTGAATCATCAGTAGCGGTAGAAACTAAATTAAGGTGGTATATGAGAGGAAACATAAAATGAATCAGAAACATTTTAATATCCTACAGAAATCGGTACACGTTAAAAGTAATTTAGAAGTTCATTCGGCGTCCGAACTGTTGAGATATTTATGACAACTGGAAGCTTTGAGAATTTCTAATAAATCTAATGATAGTCACAGCTTATATGACTTTGTTATCTTTAGAAAATACGGAGACTCCGCAAAATTTGAGGATAGCTGATGTATACGGCTTCCTTGCCATGGAACATGGGTGCAGAGGAACTAGGGGATAATTTTGATGTAGCAGAAAAACGATTTGAGTAGCTGTGGCACAGATTTAAGAGTAACTCAAATTTTCTTAATCATTACAAAGCTGTGATAGATCAACATTTTCAAGAAGGTACTGAGGAAAAGTTGGAGTATTTAAAAACCGAAATCTGTAATTTTTACTGCATCAAGCTATAATTAGAGGAAAGAAAGCACCACAGAACTTCGCATCATCACATGCTGAAGGCATATTGTCATTATGTTGTTGTTTAGAATCAGATGTTTTTTTCTTCCATTTGAAACCTGTTTCACTGCTTTTAAAATGATGTAAATATACACTCTTTTCGAAAATCTAGTTGTGACTCTCGAACATTTCTGTATTCCAACATGCGGCTCTTACTGACATGTAGTTTAACCACCCCTGCGATGTAGAGGAAGAATGTGCAGATTACACTTATTTATAATTTTAGTTATAATTTTTAATTATAGGGTTATTCTCCTTGCAATTATTTCCTGTTGTGCTTCGCAAGTGAATATTTTCGAGTCATGTTTCGAGTGTATTGTGGGACGAAATTCATTTCCCAGTCCTGTGAACAATTATATATCCCGAGGTTGAGACTGCATAAGTACAGATCCTAGCCAGTACTTTCCAGGAATTCTCTCGATTAAACTCCCGAAGGCTGATATACAGATGGAAAACATATTAAAAGAAGAAACTTGCAGATGCTGGCGTAGATAACAAGACACAATTTTATTTCATGATGACTAATTCTCAGAGCACATATTTTCGTTTGCACATCATTAAGATTTCTATAAAGACTCACAACTTTTTGTAGCATATCACATTTTATTTCTTGATGACTAATTCTCAGAACACATATTCTAGTTTGCACATCATTAAGAGTGCTATAAACACCTCACAACTTTTTGTAGCATATCACATTTTATTTCTTGATGACTAATTCTCAGAACACATATTCTCGTTTGCACATCATTAAGAGTGCTATAAAGACCTCACAACTTTTTGTATCATATCACATTTTATTTCTTGATGACTAATTCTCAGAACACATATTCTCGTTTGCACATCATTAAGAGTGCTATAAAGACCTCACAACTTTTTGCAGTATATCATATTTTATTTCTTGATGACTAATTCTCAGAGCACATATTTTCGTTTGCACATCATTAAGATTTCTATAAAGACTCACAACTTTTTGTAGCATATCATATTTTATTTCTTGATGACTAATTCTCAGAACACATAATCTCGTTTGCACATCATTAAGGATGCTATAAAGACCTCACAACTTTTTGTAGTATATCATATTTTATTTCTTGATGACTAATTCTCAGAACACATATTCTCGTTTGCACATCATTAAGGGTGCTATAAAGACCTCACAACTTTTTGTAGCATATCACATTTTTTTTCAGACAAAGAACAATGCGGAACAGCAGGCGACAGATCTTAGCACCAGCAAAGCGAAGGGGAAAAAAGTAGTACTCAATAGTAGCTGTGGCATTTATTAACTTTTTTTAAATTCTGGATCTGCGTTTTGGTTTGGTTTATTTAATTATGGCAAAGCACTCGAGGAATATCTGCCTAAGGATGGGGATGGCTTTGTGAAGGGCTTTCTAAGTGGAGCTGTCTAAATGCAGAAGGTTTACGTAAGCAAGCATGAAATGGAAAGACTCATTCCAAAATAATTATAAATAAGTTAAAATAGAAAGGGAAATAGAAAGGGAACATATAAAATCAAAATGAGTAATAAAAAAAGTATTTTCAAATTTCCAAAGTTAATAATGTGTTCACCTTTTATAATCTTTTATATTCAATTACGCATACACACACACACACACACACATATATATATATATATATATATATATGTACATATTCAGGGGGATTGTAAAAATCTTGCCCCTAGCGAGGGAAGGTATGAACCCCTAGCGACCTTTCCGTTCAACCAACCGAAATGAAATTTCAGATATGGTTATTTAAAGGTATGCGCTCGAGGTTGTGATGATTTAAAACACTACAGCTATCATGATTATATGTATATTGAAAAAACCCACGTTTTTTTCTGCACAAATGGATCAGTGCATTGAAAAATCATAAATGTCGTGGCAGCAAAATACGTGTGACGGCATCTGCCAGCATAAAACATTTGCAAAAAAGAGCATTGTAAGTGACCAGTTACAACACAAAAAAAGAGAGGGGAAATTGTTTTATAAAAATACTGGGCACTCAGTTAAGCTCTATTTCTACGAATTGCTGTTCAGATGTGGCAATAAATTCAAAAAATATTTGTTAGTAATATTTTTGCCAGTTAATAGAAGTTCGTGATTCTGCTATAATCGAAGAAAATATAGTATAAAGTTACTGCCGTTAGGACCGAATTTGCCGTGGTCTTTTTAGTCTTGTTTTCTCTTTCAAGCGCCTTCCAATTTATTATTGAGCTGAGTAAGATGGGATATAAAACTATGAATTTAAATGGGATTTTACAGAAATTTTCATTAATATTTTGAAATATAGGCAATATTTAGAAAACTTTTAGTGAAAATTTTCATTTACGCCACATCTGCTATAATAGATTCCAATGAATGTACTTCAGTAATCTTCAGACAGCATATAAATAACATACTTACCTGTGTCCTGTAGCAAAAGATTTGCTGCACTTATAAAATTGTTTGAAATATTCCAAACTTGGTACAAAAACTCAAAATTAAAACCCCCCATTGCTTCATTTTGAACTAATTTTGACTTATTTTGAACTAATTTTATTTAATTATTAAATTTTTATTTAATTATTAAATTTTAAATTTTGAACTAATTTTAGTTTTTCTGGATAATTTTGTTGCTTGTAGAGATG